AGAGCGAAAACACACAATCAGGGTAGGGGCAGAGAGAAAGAGAGAGAGAGAGAAGAGAGGGAATCCCAAGCAGGCTCTGCACTGACAGTGTGGAGCCCGATGCGGGGCTTGAGCCCACGAACCATGAGATCATGACCTGAGCTGAAACCAAGAGTCCAATGCTTAACAACTAAGCCACCCAGGCGTCACGAGATAAGGATTTTAGACTCTCTCTGGAGGCCGTGGGAAACTATGGAGGGGTTTAGGCAGTGTGGCTGGACCTACCCTGTTCGTGGGCAAAATGATGAATTAATCGTAGAGTAAGCAAGCCGTTGCAGCTTCAGGCAAGAAGTGATGGTGGCTTGGAGGAGGGCCGCTTCTCCAAGGACTGAAAGAAATGACAGAGAACTTCTGGAACATTCTAAAGGATCTGATAGGGGGTGAAGGAGAAGGAAGAGCTGAGTGTGACTGTCAGATTTCTCAGGGGACTGTGTGAAGAGCTGGAAGACAAGGGGGTCTGGTTGTCATTCTAGGAGATCCGTCAAGGGCAAGCAGGGTGAAAAAAATAGGAGTCTGGAGAGGGAATAGTATTATCTGGAAACAGCCAATATGCCAATATGATAACACATTATATTACTGTTCACAATAGTTGCTGTCTCTCCTGAAGGATACCCAGTTGATACGAGGCTCGGCTGTATGACTCACAATGAAATGTGAACACGAGTGACGTTGTACCTTTTCTTTTTGTTTCTTTTTTTAACTTTCTTTTTTTTTTTAATGTTTATTTATTTTTGAGAGACAGAGAGATACAGAGCACCAGCAGGGAAGGGGCAGAGAGAGAGGGAGATACAGAATCTAAAGCAGGCCCCAGGCTCTGAGCTGTCAGCACAGAGCCCGACGCGGGGCTCGAACCCATGAACTGCGAGATGTTGACCTGAGCTGAAGTCGGATGCTTAACCGACTGAGCCACCCAGGCGCCCCAACGTGTATCTTTTCTGAGTGGAAGATTCAAAAGCCAGCTCATGGCTGTCCACACGTCTTTTCCCTCTGCCAGGGGATCGGCGATGTTTCAGAGGCTGCCCATGAATGAAGAGCCTGGGTGCGTGAACAAAGACGTGGAGCAGAGCCCAGCCAACCCGTGTCGGGCAAGGAGACACCGGTGAGTCTCTACCTTTGTTTGTGTGAACCACCGGATTTGGGCTCATTTGTTTCTGCGGCATATGCTGACTACCCCTCTCCTCCTCTCGACCTTGTTCGGTGAGTGGGGGTACCAAAGAGCCTTCAGTTGGGATTGTGGGAATATCTTCGGGGAAGGAGCTGGTTTTCCTTAGGGTGCAAGTTGGAAGGAACATTCAGGGGGAGGTTTGTAGGGGTCACCGTGGAAGAGTTTGGGAAGGATGGAGGGAGGCAGGAGATGGGCAGAGAAGGACAACGCAGAGAGCAATGCGGATGAGAGAGGGAGCCTGGGGTGATGAGAGAGAGGGGGGCCTGTATTGGGGGCGATCCCCAAGGAAAGCAAGGACAGGAACCATGATGAATTTGGTCATGATGCCCCTGGGAGGGCACTGGGCTCTCAGGCTCAGAAGCACATATTTCTGTGAAAGCAGCCCCCCAGTTCTTCCCTCGGTCCCATGATGAGATACATCTGGCCCGAGCTGTTCGTCACTCCACCCTGAATGCCAGCTCTCTGTGGGATGAACAGAGGAATGAAATTCATGCATCTATGCTCTCGGTCAGATTCCCTCCATTCCCCGCCATCAGCAAAAGGCCATCATCTATGAACCAGGATCAACTCTTGGCTCATGTTAGTGACTGTGGACAAGTTACCCAACCTCTCTGACCTTGGTTGCCTTAGCTTTAAAATGGGATGATAATAGTAGGGGCATCTGGGTGGCTCAGTCGGCTAAGTGTCCGACTTCAGCTCAGGTCACCATCTCATGGTTCACGTGCTGACAGCGTAGAGCCTGGAGCCTGCTTCGGATTCTGTGTCTCCCTCTCTCTCTCTCTCTCTCTGCCCCTCCCCCACTCCTACTCTGTTTCTCCCTCTCAAAAATAAATAAACGTTAAAAATTTTTAAAAATAATAAAATAAAATGGGATGATAATAGTTATCTAATTCATGGGACTGTTCTCAGAACTGAATGAGACGCTGGACAGCCATCCAGATTTTTGGCAATTGTTTAGTCCTAATGTTAGTAATGACATCTACGCTGGTGCCCAGTGCAGACAAATGGTCACTCCTCTCTGCTCGAATGCCACGCATTTTATCCAGTCTTCCTGCCCCCAGCCTTAGCAGAGAGGAAAAGGGACTTGTCCAAAGACCCAATCTAGAGCTTTCCCTACTATACCAGAGAAGGAAGTGGTTCTCTCAACTAGTGAGGAATGCAACTCAAAGAAACGTCCAGCAGGCAAGGGAGTGTATTAATTTCCTGTTGCTGCTGTAACAAATTACTGCAAACTTAGAAGTTTCCACCAATATAAATTTATTATCTTCTAGCTTGAGCGGTCAGAAATCTGAAATGGGTCTCACTGGGCTAAAACCAAGGTGTCCCAGGGCTACATTCCTTCTGGAAAATTGAGGGCAGAAGCCATTTCCTTGCCTTTTCTAGCTTCTGGAGGCCACCTGTATTCCTTGTGTCCACCTCCACATCTTCTGACCCTTCTGCCTCCCTCTTTCATTTATAAGGACCCTGGTGGTTACATTGGGTCCACTTGGATATCCAAGATAATCTCTTCAGCTCAAAATCCTGAACTTCATCTCGTCTGCAAGGTTCCTTTTGCCAGGTCAGATAATACACTGGCAGGCTCCAGGGATTAGGACATTGGGGGTGGGGGGGGGGCATGATTTTACCTACCACAGAAGGCAAGTTGAAAATTGGCTCTCAGGCCTCAGAGACTTTTTATGTCCCTCCTGCTCTCCCCAGCAGTGCGCTGATCTCTTCTTTATTTCCCTCTTTTTTCCCATTTATTTCAGCCCCTACAGCTCATTTTAAAATAGGTATCATCAGCTAGAGGTATTTCCTCCAAATCCCCTAATCCTTAGGAATGGTGGTCCCAGTTAATGCCCCCTCTGTTTCTGTCCACCAGAATGAGCTTGATCAGACAGGGTTTCCAGGTGGAGCCTTGTCTAGGACAGCACAGTCCAAGAGGAATTGAATGTGAGCTATAAATGTGAGTTACATATGTAATTTCAAAATTTCTAGGAGTCTCGTTTAAAGTAAAGTAAAAGGGCTCCTGAGTGGCTCAGTCAGCTGGGCGTCTGACTTTTGCTCAGGTCGTGATCTCGCGGTTCATGGGTTCAAGCCCCGAGTCGGGCTCTGTGCTGACAGCTCAGAGCCCAGAGCCTGCTTTGGATTCTGTCTCCCTCTCTCTCTGCCCCTCTCCCACTCACGCTCTGTCTCTCTCTCTCTCTCTCTCTCTCTCTCTCTCTCAAAAAATGAATAAACATTAAAAAAAGTTTTTTTTAAGTAAAGTAAAGGGGCACCTGGGTGGCTCAGAGGTTGAGCGTCCGACTTCTGCTCAGGTCTTGATCTCACAGTTTGTGGGTTCGAGCCCTGCGTCAGGCTGTGTGCTGACAGCTCAGAGCCTAGAACCTGCTTCAGATTCCATGCCTCCCTCTCTCTCTCTGTCCCTCCCCCACTTGTGCTCTCTTTCTCAAAAATAAATAAACATCAAAAAAATTAAAAAAAAATAAAGTGAGAAGAAATACATGGAATTAATTTTAATAATATATTTTTGTTTAATCAAATATGTAAAAAACACCATTTCAGATGCATTCAATATAGAAATTATTAATGAGATATTTTATATTAAGTCTTTGAAATCTGGCATGTATTTTATACGTTAGCACATCTCGGTTCAGGCTAGCTACATTGCAAATGCGTAATAGCCAACCATACCAGTGGCCACCATGTTGGATGGTACAGGCCTAGAACAAAAGCTCTGCAGGGGCCCCAGGGCCTAGAACAGTCCCTGGCACAATAGGCCCTCAGATTTGTTGAATGCAGGAATTAAAGGCTTAGGTTCTTTTCCATAGTGCTGAGCAGCTGACCCACTGAAGGAACCCTGAATAGGTGGGTCATTTGCATCTAATTTGCATAACACCTCCCAGGCATTTATTCTTCCTGGTTTTTTCTCTCTGCCGTTTCCCACTGGGTCTGTTCTTACCTGGACAACTTTGAAAAGGCTGCTTAGTCCTATCTGGAAGGTAAAGGACAGAAAGGGGACTCTCCGTGAAGCCAAATCCCTGGGGACCTCTGGAGGTGGGTGGGTGAGGAAGAATGTCCCCAAACATGTCTCCCAAGGCTCTTGTGATCTGTTTCTGGTCTCTACTCATCTCCTGTCTTATCACCTTGTTATGGATTGAACTGTGTCCCCCCAACCCCCCCACCAAATTTGCTTCTTCTCTCACCCATCCTTAGTGCTGCCCTTGAACTACATTGCTGTCCTTCAGCACTGAGGATGGGTGAGAAGAGGCTTGTATTAGTTTTTTGTTTTAATTTTTTTAATGTTTATTTACTTTTGAGAGAGAGAGAGAGAGAGAGAGAGAGAGAGAGGGCGCGTGTGCAGGAAAGGGTCAAAGAGAGAGGGAGACACAGAATCTGAAGCAGGCTCCAGGCTTCAAGCTATCAGCATTGGAGCCTGATGTGAGGCTTGAACTCATGACCATGAGATATGACCTGAGCTGAAGTCAGACGCCCAACCAACCAAGCCACCCACGTGCCCCAAAACTTGTATTAGTTTTCTGTTGCCATTTCCATAACAGAAAGACCACAGACTGGGGAGCTAAACAACAGACGTTTATGTTCTTAGAGTTCTGGAGACTGGAAGTCCAAGATCAAATGGTCTCCTGATTCCATTGGGAAATAATGTCCAAGAGAATTGAACAGATGTTCACACAAAAACCTGTCCATGAATGTTCACAGCGTTGTTATCTGTAGTAGTCAAAGAGTGGAAATAACCCCCATGTTCATCAGTTGGTGAATGGATAAACAAAATGTGGTATAAAATGAAATATTAGGGGTGCCTGTGATGAGGTTTTGGAGTAGTGGGCGTTTGGTCAAGAAAGATTTCTTGAGATGTCTTTTGGTGCAAAAAAGGTGATTTTATTTTTATTTTTAATGTTATTTATTTATTTATATTATTTTTTAAAGAATATATCTAGTCTTTTTTTCTTTTTTAATGTTTATTCATTTTTGAGAGAGAGAGAGACAGAGTGTGAGCAGGGGTGGGGCAGAGAGAGGAAGACACAGAATCTGAAGCAAGCTTCAGGTTCTGCACTGTCAGCACAGAGCCCGACATGGGGCTTGAACTCAGGAACCGTGAGATCATGACCTGAGCTGAAGTTGGATACTTAACCGACTGAGCCACCCAGACACTCCTGTTTTGTTCTCTTTTTTTAAGAGTATTTATTTATTTTGAGAGAGAGAGAGAGCATGAACATGGGAAGGATAGAGAGAGGAGAATCCAAGCAGGCTCCATGCTATCAGCGCACAGCCAGATGCGGGGTTTGAACTCATGAACCGTGAGATCATGACCTGAGCTGAAATCAAGAGTCAGATGCTTAACTGACTGAGCCACCCAGGTGCCCCTATGTATTTTTTATTTTAGAAGAAAGAAGATTCCTTCTAAGAGAGTTACTAAAATTGAAAAATGATATCCTGGGAATAAGAAAGACGGATAAGGGATATTCTGCTTGGATTCACAATAATTGCAGGTGGGTGAGTTGTCATTTGAAAGACCTGAATCACACTCCAGAGGTGGCTATGACAGGGATTTAGTGATCTGCCTCTCTAGGCGACACAGAGAGTTTGAATTTATAACAGATGTCAGAACTGCTTTCACTCCGGTAAAATGGGTGATAGCCAAGATGTGGGTTGGGTAGATGCACCATAGGCTCCAATCCCACGAAACCAAGTGAGCCTCTGCTCTGGCACCAGCCCTCAGAGTTTTCAGACCTCTGCAGCACACCCCCCGCCCCCCCCCCCCCCCCCCCCCCCGCCTCCCCCCCGCCGCCATGCAAGTTGTTGCCACCTGATCCTGATGAGATGGGCTGACCCACGGCTAGTGAATGGTTTCATCTGTTTCCAGTGAAGCTTTCATACAAGGTGCCTAACATGGAGGAACCTGGGCCTCACTGATCTTACGGAGTGGGTTGTGT